ATTTTAATCACTAAATAGATTTTTCTTCCTCCTACTCTTCCCTCATTCATACCATGAGTGTCCAGACAGTCATTCAAAGAGATATTGCTCTTGTGATTATAACTATTGCAATTTAGAAGACAAAGGATTCAATATTCAAAACTTATTCTTAAGAACAGTTATAAAAGTATTGAAATTTAAAAAGTAGTAACATGTAAACATTGATACAGAGACTGCTGTCCCATATGTGTATATATATTTATATATATATATAGCAGTCGAGGACAATATTTATGTTAAAAATGTAGCTTGTGCTTTTTCCCAATAATACATTGGAAATTCACTATTCTGTTGATAACAAAACAAAAATATTTGAAAATTAGAGAAGACATCTCTACTTTGCTTCAAGCATTTAAACAATTTTCCTGTTGCTCATGCAACCACCATATTTACAGTTTTGGTTTAGGAAGAGAATTAATTTTGGATCCAAGAAAGCACATTATCGAGTACTGCTGAAACCAAACTGAGAAAGTGTCTCATTCCCTGGTTCATAGCAGAGCACCAGGTGCAACGCATAGGCTCAGCAGTTCTGACTGATGTGTGATGAACACCAGCATCTGGACGTAGTCATATTTGAGTCTGCAGCACGTGTGTAGGCGGGGTGTAAGGGGGAGGTGCTGGTGATGGCTTGATTCCTCTGGCTCTCATGTAGGAGAGGAACTGCTCGGGAATCTCAGCTAAGACATCTTTGGCCAGTCTAGCCATGCTCAATATGTGGTTTCCACTTCTGTCCATATAATCCCTGAATGGCACAAACTAGAACAGAGAGAAAAATTACAATCTTCAGCTACCCACCTAACAACACAAAATGAGAACATATAGTTTTTTTTTTGTTGTTTGTTTGTTTTACCTTTCACTTTCATGGATAGTTTTTGAGACAGGATCTCACTACATGGACTAATATGGCCGCAAACTCATGATACTCCTGCCTCAATCAGCATTGGGATTTCAGGTATGCATTTACTATGCCTGGCTTACAAACAACTGATTATAGGAGTGTCCTAGTTAGCTTCTCTGTCAACCTGACTCAACCTAACACCATCTGAGAGAGTCTCAAATGAGGGATTGCCCAAATAAGACTGGCCCTTGGACATGTCTGTAAAGGAACGTTTTGATTGATGGTTGATGTGGGAGGACCCATCCCACTATGGGCGGTACTGTTCCTAGGCTGTATCAGAAAGCTAGCTAAGTGAGTCAGACACTGAGCCAGCAAGCAGTATCCTACCATGTGTTCTGCTTTGGATGCCTGCTTGGATTCTTGGCCTGACTTGTGATCTGAAAGTATAAGCCAAAGAAATTCTTTCCTTCCCAAACTTGCTTTCTGTCTGGGTATTTTGTCATAGCAACAAGGAGAATCACAAATGCCCAGAGTAACAGTACTATGAATACATAAAAATCCTGTCTTTAAAATGTATTTGTCACTACAGTTGACTATTACAGTGATCAAATCTTAATAAGGTGTGTTCAACAAAAGAGATGGAACTCTCTTCCTTGTTGCTCTTGTGTCCCCTTTTGTGACACTACCTAACTGATGCCAAACACCAGGGGCATTTAACCTTTATGGGGCTTGTTTTTCCTGTCAAAACTGAGTTAGTACATGTTTAATTCCACTTTGATATGAAAGTTAACTAATGCAGAACAAGGAACAAATCTTATACCATTCAGCACAGAAAACAGCATACACGATTAGTGAGACCTAAACACACTATTTTTAATTGTTACTAGGACATCAAATCATGGCTATTGAAGAGGAAAAACTCACAGTTCCTATGGTGGAGGCCTGAACTACAGTACGCAGAGGCAGTGTGCTCCTACGTTGATGTTATGTATTTGTTATTTGTGAAAGCAAGAGATCTCAGTGTGAGATGTTGGAATCATTCTTACTGAAATGTTATAATTACTTTGGCATCTAAATATGGTTGCCTTGCCTTTATCTAGCAATTACGCAGCATCCCCTATCAGGTCTACACCATGCACTCTGCCAAGAGGCTGTCTGGGGCTAGTCTCATTTGGAACGGTTATTTAGTAAGTAAACACTGTCCTACTGGATATACCAGTTCAGTTTCTCTGTAAGGGATGATTCTTGAAGCAACTTGGAAATGATTGAAATCATTAATGTTGTGGAGTTTGTGAGCACATCAAGCTTTGGTCTTGAGAAAAAAAAGAAGAGGGAAGACATTAATTTAGGATGTAGAATAATTTCTGCATATAGGATTTGAAAGTTTATATTAATATTTTTCTTTCACAGTGACCAAGAACATTCTGTTTTCATACTGTAACTGTTACAAACTTATTCTGAAAACTTGCTTTTAATATAAACAATTATTTAAAATAGACTTTTAGAAGCCAATTGTTATTGGTATAACTGAAACAATCCAGTTGCTACAAGGAAAGCTGTATTTAAAATGTTTGTATATTGATATAAGTGTAAAATTATATTTGTCATACTGTATGTATGTTCTACCTCTTTAGGATATTTGGTATATTGATAGGATTATTGTCATATTGCATATTGCACTATACATTCCTACCTCTGCTTTAGCTCTTTTGTGTATTGTCAGAATTCTTGAGGTCATTGTCCTCTTATTATACATTTGCTTATAGACTGTTTACCTTGTTTATATGAAGCCTTAGTCCTCCTTAGGTTATCTAGGTAAATAAGACTTATAGGTTTATAGTCACCTATGCTTGTCATCTCTATTGTTATGTTAGTTATGTTGTCCAGACTTACAGAAACATATGTCAGATGGATAGGTAACACTTCACAGACCTAGAGAAAATGGCACTTAAATGTTTTGATAACTTAGAATTCTGTTGATGTAAGATACAATTGCTCCTGACAGCACCAATCTGATCCCAAGAGAATGTTGAGCTTCTGAAACATTTCTGTTTGTAAGTTTGTCTTCTTCTTAGCACAAAATGGCCTGCAGGGCAAAAAACTGCCCTTGCCTTGACTTCTGACAGTACAAATACTGTCCCTTCTGAATGAGCAGGACACAAGGAAAAGTGACTACTGAACTCTGCCAAGACAGGATAAGATAGTCATTCAAAATACCTGCTTCCGAAAATGGTATGACAGATACATAAGGTTTGTACCCAATTTGAATGCACCAACAATGCTGAGAAACTTTAGGTGACTGTTCAGGCTGCCAGCTGTCTCTGTTTACTCTTGAAAGACTCGTCACTTTCCCACTTCTCAGGTATTATTATATTCCTTCTCAGGTTTTCGATGGGATCGAAGACTAACAGTTATAGTTACAATCTTCTTGTATCTTTGCTAGAACATATTAAATATTAGATTCAGGTTCTTTGTGATAGGACACCTTTTGGAATGATTTCTGTAATGTGCCATTTCCTCCAGATTTCTCTGGATTTTAGTATGTGTCTCTTGTTTGATGTTGTTATTGTTGGTTGTAGTTCCATCTTGTCTAGGTCATTATCCTTTATTCCTCCAGGACAATATTTGATAATCATTCCTATTGTATATAGTTTTGTATTAGCTTGGAACTTTCTTATTTAGATGAAAGGGGGAGATGTAGTGGGTAGCTGTTCCAGCTTTGACCTTGAAACACTGCCCCCTAGTGAGGCCACAGGTAACTGCCACACCTGCCTATGAACTGCCCCTGGGACGTGGCCGAAACATGACCTCTTAAGACCCGAGTTCCATATGTGCCTACTCTCTTGGCTCCTCATGATTCTGGATGCTGGATTGTAGACCAAATCAGAGATCTCCAGAGAACCATGCTGGACTGCATCTCACCCCTCCCAGACCCTGTAAACGGCTCCTTTACTGGTTATAAGTTACTCTGAAATAAACCTCTTTTAACTACCAGATAAACTATGTGGAATTGCCTGGTTAATTACCAATTTAGAAAACAAGTTAAAAATAAAGGAAACTAAATAGCAGGTGTAATTTTGATGAAGTGAAGGTCATCTCTTTTGCCGCATTCCTCCAAAGCCTCTTCCTCTATAATTCTAACATATACCTGTTTACCATAGATCAGCTTTTAGATGTGTGACGGCAGGTAAAATGATCACTCACCCCTGAAGGCAGCTAAGCCAGGGAAGGAGAAAGCTCACAGTGTGTACAGTCTTCAGGTGGGAGGAGAACAGGGAGGGTATGAACTTTGCAAAGTCGCATTACTTCACTAGAGGCAAGATGGCATTGTAAACAAAACTTAGAGGTATAAAGAAACAAGTTCTGTTTTTCTCTCATTTAATCTAAATTAGTAGTTCCAAGAATTTACTCTTTAAACCTTTTAGTAAGCTGTATAGGGTTATGCCTTTCTTCTTCTTTCTTCTTTCTTTCTTTCTTTCTTTCTTTCTTTCTTTCTTTCTTTCTTTCTTTCTTTCTTTCCTTTTTTTTCTTTCTTTCTTTCTTTCTTTCTCTCTCTCTCTTTCTTTCTTTCTCTCTCTCTCTCTCCCCCCCCCCTCTCTCTCTTTCTTTCTTTCATGTTTTTAAAATAAAAGTACATTTTTACTAGCATGGGCCTCCTTATACATGCTCTATTTGTTATGTCAGTGAAGATCTACATGCAACTTAAGGCATGACATGCTTTATTGGCATTGTTTCTTATTTTTATTTTATTGAAAATTAATTGTTCCTCATCTAATGTGTCCTGATTACTGTTTCCCCATCCATCTACTCCTCCCAGTTTTCCCCACTTCTCCTCATATGAACTCACAGAGGCTGAGGCCGCGTGAACAAGGGCTTGCGTGGGTCTGCACCAGGTGGTGTCCTAGAACAGAAAGGAGAAGTGGACCAATGCCTCCAGCCCTAACCTAGAAGCGAGCCTCAGTGGACAACCACTTGCAAATGAAAACTTGGTTTTCTCCCAGGGAATCTTACTGGGGGAAACAAACTACTCTTAAGTGAAGGCTGCATGCTCAGCAGTAGATGGTTGACAGAAAAGGAGTTCAAAGGCATCTTTGAGGGTTCTTTGTCTTATTACATCCTGCTAGGACATTTTTTTTCTTTTAATTTTATCTTTTTTATTTTAATATTTATTTATCTATTTTTTAACCCTACAGGTCCTGTTCATATATATATAATGGTTTCCAGTGTTGTATTTTCATGGGATTCCTGAGTGTGCAAACAAGTGGGTCTCTGCATCCATATTTATTTCTTGTGCATTTTCTTGGGCTCTTTCCTTTTGGCTTGCTTGTATTGGGATACTCTGATGTCTCTGTTTTTGTTTTATTGTAGTTTTATTATACAATCTAGTATAGTATATTTTATTATTATCCATCAGAGGCCCGTTTATTTTCTAACGAGAAACAGAGAAGAGATAGATCTGGCTCGTACTTTCTTAATGGAAATATATTACAATTAATTTGGGGGAATTTTTCTGTACTCCAGAAGTATCAAAACTGAAGTCACAATACCCAGAGTTCTTCTCATCTTCTGAGCCTCTTTATAAATCACAGACAGTACAACAACAAAAGGAACATCGCCAGAGAATGTCACTGTTATCTACAGGGTTTTACTTATCACAGGAATAGGTTGGGAATAGAAAACGGTGAGAACTTTCTACTTGCTGATTCTGAATTATCTAAAATTTTTCCCTGAGTGGCATTCATTCTTCAGTCCTGCCACCAGGCATTCTACTGATGAGTGGGGAAATGCCAAGGACTCCTCACTGTCATTCCCACTGGTTCCATCACCTTGACACATTTCTGAACAAAACATCCTTTAATCATTTGGCACACATCCTCCTAACCTGACATTTGATCACTCAGATCACCCTCTACTTTCTTGTTTAATCTTTCACTTTTGAATGATGTAGCTAGGGATATTTGGTTAAAAAAACAAACAAAGCCCAATCCCCACATGTGGTGAGGGCACACTGTCATCACTGAACTCAAACTCTTAAAGAGTTACATTAAGAAGAAAGTAATATTCACAGTGCACTAATGTAATGTATTCATATAACAAATATAGTGGATGCGTTCTGTTCTATAGAAAACATGGCATGCATGGTGTTCCAAGTCTTCTTTGAGCTCTTCCCCTAAACTCCTGTGTAAAGGGACATTCTTCATGGCTGCTCTGATGGATGGTTTTGCCGATTTATGAAAATAAATTCTAATGTGTTTGGGCAAATTGGCTTTTAGTTGCTGTTCGCTCAATCGTGTTTGATTGTTCCTACTGTGCAGAACGCCATTAGTGAGTTTCCAAGTCTAAGACTTCAAGGCTATTATTCTCCTTTTAATGGAAAATATAATTTAAATGTAATTCTTAAGGAAATGATAGGCTGGCCAGCAGCTGCATGCAGCCAGGAAGAATGGTATTGCCTTAAACACAATGGCCAATCTATAGTACAACAAACACACACACGCCTTGCATGTACTGACCCCAGAAAATAAACACCACAGGAATTCATTGTGCAAATACAAGATTGGAGCTTCAGGTAATGGGGCATCATCATACATGAGATGATCAAATCAAGGAATGGCTACTATGAAATAAAGACATGCAAAATGCCTTCCCACCAGATGGTGCTGGGATAGTAATTGACAACTACCAACATTGATATTAATGTGTTGTTGCTGAGCAATCGAAGGTTTTCTGCTAAGGGACTAAATATAGTATTTTGTTTAATTTAACAGGTATCTTATTCATATTTTGACTTGATTTAAGAGGAAACCGAAGCTTAGAAAGTTTAACTTGGCAAGGCCAGATAGTGTCCAGTGTCAGTCATTATTCGATTTGACTCTGACATGTCAGATTTTATAGTCTTATAGGAAGATGGCTAGATTCTGATAATCGTTAGAATTTTATATCAAGTAGGGAGGGTTTACTGTAATAGAAGGTGAGGTTTTGGAATCAGAACTTGATTTGTAGTCAAAATACTTCTGTGCAGCTTACTTAACTCTCCATCTCGGATCGCAGTTCTTTTATATGTGATGATAAGGGAACAGAGTGACAGAAAGGGCAAAGGGCCACAATTCAAGGTGGAAGACTTCTGCCTGCACCAGCGAAGTGTGACTGGGGTAAATGACAAGGTTAACTGGAAGTAAGCATCATGAAACTATGTGTGGTGATGACAGATAGAGTGTCCATTTGAGTGTGTTTAGAAAAAGAGGAAAACTGGAATGAGGCTGTAGAGATGTTTAAGTGGTCTTAATTTAACTCTTAAGAAAGAGTTTTCTATGACATTTTAGGATTGCATCTAGCTTCTAGCTTCCACTTTTCATTAGCTGAGGATTATGGGCAAGAGGAACTGAACTGAGCTTTACTTTTTAAAAATATAGTAAGCAAGTGTCTGTCATAATGTTAATGAAGGGGTCAGTGATGGATTGCTACTGCTCTTAGCCTGCCTAGCACATACAGCATATGACAGACTCAAATATCATCCTGTGCAAATGCAGAAAAGCTCCTCAATACTTGACAGCAAAAGGAAAACTCAACCTACTCCTCCCAACTACATTCTACAAGCTACAGTTTTTATTTTTCCAACCTGAGAAATTGGGGGATTCAATAGTAACATAGTTAATAACTTGACTAGCTTCAAAGTGAAACAGACTGCAAGAAACCAGAGTTCACACGGCCTCTCTTCTGTTTCTAATGCCATTTTACTGGCTTGTTCAGACATGTTTTCTGAACACTGGAAGATACACAATACTGCCCTACTGTTTGCAATACTTAAGAACATTTACATTCTTGAAAAGGACTAATCTACAAATATTTCAGCAGAACATGGAGAATTTTGATGGCAGGCCCCTAATGAGATTCAAGGTGATAAGAGAGAAGTGATTCATGGACAGGACTGGGAAGCAAATGGCCAAGTTGCTCACATTTTGCAAGGGTGAATTTAGGAACTTCTCTGTGAAATTAGAAAAGTAGGTCGAGTCCCCTTGAATACAGGGATAAAACACAGGATGTTGTCATCCAGGGACTACTAATTCTCTGGTACATGTCAATTTCCTGTTTAGTATCTGTAAGACCCCTTCATTCCTTCAGTTGGGGCTTATGTGGCAGAAACCCAAGGGTTTCCCTGTATCTCTAGATGTGTTTGAATTCTCTGGGGACCCCAGTGCCACAGCCAGGAAAGACTTGCCTCTGAGACTAGGACTTTCAAGAAGAGGAAATATCTCTATATATGTTAGCTTGTATCTGTATAAACTTATGCCAATGGGTAACAAAGAGTCTTCTGCCTCCTATAATATCAGAGTAAAACAAGGATGAACAGCCTTGGACTCTACAAACAATAGGAGGCTAAGGCAGTGTATTGACTCGGTCAAGACTGGAGTGGGAGACTGAGCATTCATGGACATTCTGGCTCCCATCTCAGTATACTTCTTATTGCCATCAATCCGTTGAGAGATGAGAGGATTCTTGTTTCCACAAATGTCAATATGCATGGTTTTGTGGTAATAGTATAGGGCCATGGTCCTTTGAAAAGAAGTCTTGGTGATGTGAGCAACCTTGATTCCTTGGAGACAGTGTTATGCTACTTCCCTTAAATATTCATTTGGATGGAGTGAGCTATGAGATTCCTCCATTATTTTTATAAAGAAGCATCGTCATAGCAACAGAGCGCATTCTAAAGTCCTTCTCACGAGTTTCCTTTCAGTAATTTGATTTTTTGCAAAGTGTGGGCAGGACATTATGTGGATCTTTTAGATAATGTAAATTTACTTGGACCCATAATTATGATAATGAGGTTAAGGTGAATAATTATGTGTCTAATTATGGAAATGAGCACCATGATACACTTAAATAGATGACATCACCGTGGTCTCTTTCTCAGCTACTTTTAGCTGAATCATTTACTGTATGTGTTGGTGCTTTTTACATTATGCCTAGAGATGTTTAAATCATATTTATCTTTCTTTTCAAATAATTGTTATAAAATTGTTTCTGTGTTAGAAGATAATTTTATTGATTTTGGAAGAGTAACTTATAATCCTTTTTAATATTATTATTTCTGTATTGTAGTGTTGGAGATCACACTCAACAGTGCTTAGCATGCAAGTGCTCTACCACAGAGCTATACTGTGATCCTTTTATCTATCAACTTAGGGCATCCCCCCAGCCTCAATTATTCTAATCAGCATTTTGTTGGCTACTACTGAGCTATACTTCTAGGACATATTTTATAAAATATAGGTTTCCTCGCTTTACTTCATAAGGCTGCTTATCTCTCAGAATGTAGAAAGTTTGTCCAACTTATCACAAGTTAGAATTTGAACCCAATTCTGTAGGATGCCAAATTATATTCTTACAGTAGTTACATTAGGAGCACATACAGGAGATTATTTGGAAATAATATTGACATCCATTGTTTGTGCCCATAAAGTGTGCTTATCATGTCCTTAAGTGTTACTAAGACCGTTGACTGCTTCCTACTAAAAAAATCTATGTATCATAGACTTTTTCCTTCTTATTTTGCTTCCTAAAGATACACATTCTAAATAAAACATGCATAGATGTGGTTGAATTAACTCCCTGCTTTCAGTGACAAATTTTAACTGATTGTTTTCTTATTGCTCCTCAAATAGCAGGCAGCTCCTCAAATTAGCTAAGTAGTCTTCTCAAACATTTTCTATATATAACATTTATAGGTAATATATAGTTTATATACCATGTATCATAATAAAATGTATGCATAGTTTATTTATTATATATAGTTTTAGCATACATGTTTTCATTTTTCCAACTATAATCTGGTGAGAATCTGGCAACAGTTATAATTTTTTATATGTTGCATTAAGTCACTTATTATTTTTGTATGAATCATTTGTTTTAGAATATGTTTAGTTTATGTGAAGACTAATAATTGAACGGATTAAAAAGTTCATTATATTTCTAGCTTCTAATTTTACTAATGATCACAATGATAATTTCTCATAAGACTAAACTAGGAAAAGACAATTACTGACACTTGCACTTTACATATAGTGAATGTGACACAAAGTGAAAAGCAATTCCATGCAGACTTTAATCCCTATTACTTAAGTTATATTGTATGGAAAAGGAGTCAACTAAACTAACTGAATCCAGAGCTCCTGACTGCAATTTAAGTTGCTTTTTTATATATCAGGTAGAAACAGGGTCTTCACAAAGAAGGAAACAGATAATGTTTATTTAAATCCTTACCTGTACAATGTCCCTTTCCGCGTATTTCCCTCTGGAGGAAACTCTTACATCATCTCCATCCAATTCAACCATTGCTTGAAAAGGAGATACAGTCATTAATTGAATACGATGTGCTGAAATAAGACTGTGTGAACTAAGACATCACTATGTATGTGTGCAATAGTGCACCCACTGGAGTGACAGGAAGGCAGCTGCAATCTTCTTTAATCATTTTCTCCAGACAGCCTGATGGAGTATACAATCTACAGCTGAAGGAAGCCGTGAGAGTGAATGACCCTCTGGAAGTCAGCCAGAGTCAGGCATTGTGGAACATTCTCTGAGCCCATCTTTCCCTCCTATTCACCATCCTATCGGAGCTAAATCTGGGTTACATGCTTAAATGACTGAATGGGCATGGGATATTAACCCATCCATTTTAATGTGTTTCTTTCTAATTTAAGAAACAGCAACAATTATCATCTTCAAGTTGAACCTCATTCTTACTGACATTACAAGGTCCACACTGTCCAAGTTTTCCTTCAAAGACCACTGCAAAACAAAGTGGCATTTATTCAGTCCTTAATAAAGTATGATTTTTTTGTGAAGTATGGTAATTCTGTTAGTTTGAGAAATCATTTCAGCATTGCCTGCAACAGCTGGTATTCAGAAATACTGTCCGAACAAAGCAGCTGGTGATATCTGATGCTGCAATTAGAAACATTACCCAGAATTTATTAGACTTTGCTGTGAGAATTCTCTAAATAATTATTGTATGAGGGAACTGGCTTTGCTTAAAGTGTAATTCTATTACTGAAAATTCATTTTGCGTACACAGGACAATCAACAGACTCGAAAGAGACCTCATAGAAATCCCGAAAGGTAAAGCACTGCTCAGCTGGAGCACGATCCTCATCCTGCATCCCTTTTTTCAGTCCCTATAATGTGTTTGCGTTAGAAAACACTGTTTTCAAATTTGTCTTCCTACATATGTTCATGAGTCAATGTTTTGGCTGAAGTAATACTGGTAAATATGATTAACAGATTTGCCTGCACACACAATATATGCCATAATTTTACAAAATGTGTGTTCTAGCAATAACAAGGCCAGTGCCTTATTCCTGGGACTTTAAACAGTATGCATGAGCACATATTTGAAACAAATAACTCCTGTTAACCTCTGGGTTTGCTTCTGCAATTTTCATATTACTTCAAGATATAATTGTACATTGCAGGTGACATGCTGTGCTCCCTGCTCTGCTCATAAATTGCAACAATTCCCCTGCATTCTCTCCAAAATGGGAACAAGACTCAGGTGCAACAGAGGTATTGTCTTTATTATCTCTACAATCTCTATTGCACCTCATTACCATCCAGGGAGAAAATGAATAATCTTGCATACAGGAGAGGTTCTAGATATTACCTCCCACTCTTCAGTATGCTTAAAGGTTAAAGGTTGTAGACAGCATGAACTGGAAGGCAAGCTTTTGAGAGCAATAGAAGCAAGATAATAAGGATGGAGGGAGCAGAGCCACACTTCAGGTTTTCTGACTGTCTGGTCCAAGGAGCAGGGATTGTGCCCCGGAGGGACAATCCTGTGCTTCTCTCTAGCTATCGGAGACAGGGTGAATGATGAATTTACATCCCTTCTCCCCAGCTTTGCATCAAAGCTGCTGCTGCATTAATTCAACTTTTCTTTTGGAAGTACTAAAGGAGGGCTTTTGACATGAGAATAGCAATTTGTATGCCAGAGATTTCTTCTATCTCAGCCACCAGCAATTTTCTTCTACTTCTTAGTCATGGAGTTAAGGGGAGAAACAGATTTGATAGGAAAGGAAAAAAAAAAACTATTTTAGAGAAGCATGTATTGTATCCTAGCCAGATAGTCATCTTTTTAAAAGAAGTGGGCCAGGAAACATCTAACTCCAGAATTACATTTTTTTTTTTCAGAGAATGATGTCACTCCAATTTCTAGGAGTTGGGGAGTCTACCGGGAAGGCAAGTTCCCTTTCCATCTACACTCCTCACTCGTTCCTCACAGCACCACCAGGGCTCCACAGAAGGGAGCTGGGCCCCAGGAGGCATGTGCCTCTCAGAGCAGATGCAGCTTGTCTCAGATTGAATACAGTGCCTCAAGGCACTTTCTGCTCCAAGGAAACCTATCAGGGAAGCCTAAAAGAGTGTGGGAAATGTCAAGGAGTGGGGAGTCTGGCCCCACCCACAGGTTAAAGCAGTGGTCCTCAACCTTCCTGATGCTGCAGTCCTTTATAGTTCCTGATGTTGTGGTGACCCCAGCCATAAAATTATTTCGTTGTTACTTTATCACTGTAATTTTATTACTGTTATAATGTTATATTATGTTATAATATAAACATCTGAATGTAGGATACCTGATATGCAACCCCTGTGAAAGGGACATTCAGCCTCCAAAAGGGTCCCAACTCATAGGTTGAGAACCACTGGGTTAGAATATATTCTTAACTACACTCTGTTAAGAAGTTGGTATCTCGGTCTGACAGATTCCTGCATATTTTCCTTTAGAATATCTAGTAGAGAAATGATGAATTATCATTTCTCAGCTCCCTACAAATTCACTGGGGAAAAAAAGAAATAGAGAAAATAAGCAGCCTTGGCTTTGTAGCAAAGGCAGGGTCTAAGTACAAGTGTGTTGATCTGTATGGAAGGACATAGGCAGAAATTTACAGCAGCAGTGACCAGTGGCTTTGCACTCCTGTATCATGTAATGGGCTCTCACAGAACAGAAACGGACCACTGTGACTTCCAGGGGGCCTGTCAGACGGCAACGCACTCATGAGTGGTAAATAGAGGAAAAGACAAGTACCAAAGGAGAATGTATGAGCTATTTTAGCTTGCAGTGATATATTTGGGCAACCACAGTCTGTCATCACTACCCAATGCAGATCATCATGAGTCAGAGAGTGAAGAAGATGTCTTAGTGTTTGCATGCAACTCTATAAGGAGGTGGCTCATGTCCACAGTTGGACAGATGCGAATGGCCAGAGAAAACAGTAACAGAAGCTGCAGTAGTCAGAACTAAGACACTTCATAGAAACAGGAAGGCCACGTCTCAAGCTAAATACATGGCCGCTCTTAGTAAAAATAACTAACCATGTAAATGCGAAAGTTACCACTGAATCACAGTTCAGTGGCATTCATGAAAAGGAATTTGCTAGGTGATCAGTAACAAACTATCTTCAAAGAACTTTACCCAGGTCACTAGTTACAGACAAAGCTGCCACTTAACTGGCCTTTGAAAAGGCTGAGCCCCTGACAGCCTGTCCAGTATCATCTATGCAGTCAGCTCAGTCCCCTTGTTATTGTTTTTCCCCGAGATGGAGCTCCTTGTTTATAAAGCTAATGCTATCAACTAGCCAGAAGCCGGAATCACATTCAATTAGCATATTGTGCTTCTCTTAATATTTCCGCTCACAACTTAATGATTCATTAATTTAGTACTGTTCTTTAAAAGCTGTCAACACTCTTCCCCCACACAGTGTGCTTCCCTGGAGTGTTCTTTGCCTTAGGAACCAGATCGCAGTTTAGTACTCCGTCAGTCTTACATATTGTTTCAAGATGCAAACTCTAATGAAATGGCAAAAGGTGCATGTTCAATTAATGTATAAGCTGGAGGGAGGGTGTCTTACCCAATGACAGTCTTTTAATTTGAGTGTGAGCTATATTTATGCCGGCAATGAAATTACACACAAATTCAATCACACTCTTTACACAGTTGAGGCCAGCAGAAATGTAGTAGCACCATAACACCACAGAAATCTTGCTACTTACCATCAAATTCTGCAGGTCCAACACCTACTATAATTATTGACATTGGAAGCTTCGAGGCCTTTAGGAAGAATAACACAATTAGATTTCAATTAAGACATTTAGTTCTCAAGAAAAATGAAGGCACATATAAACATTGTACAGACTTTGGATCTGGCTATTTTTTCCTTTAATTTGCCAGTCCTTGAAATTTTAATAATTTTTTTTTAGAACTTAAAGACAAAAAGAAAACGATTTTCTGATTTTCTGCATTTGCACAGATGTTCATTAAGATAGCTTTTAATCACATGCTCAAAATTAAGTCATTATCACAGTGAATTGTTATTGGGAATTACTCTCATGGTGAATTAGTAAGTGCAAACAAATGGCTGCTAAGGTAAGTTTAACATGACTTGTTTATGCATTAGATATCTGTGAACTGTTGAGACTGAATATTTGATGCTGTAGCATGGTTTTCATCATATGAAGTACTCAAGTGATACTCTATTTAAAGTTATTAAATGGAGCTGGGGAGATGCCTCAGAAGATAAGGGCTTTTATGCCCAAGAGTGATGATGTGAGGAACCCAGGGATCCATATGACTCTTGCAGGTTGTCCTCTAACTTCCACATATGCATCCTAAATGCCTGACCACACACATACACATACACAAATATATATTTTATATATATATATTTAAAAATTCAACAGATTCTCAGCATACAAAGTGAGAACATCTGATGCTGGGAGTCAACAAACTACAAATATCTCTTTCTTAGTGCATTGTCTCTTTTTAGTTAATCAAGAATTACGAAGTCAGTATGTTAAGTATGAATAGTACTAACTAGAAAGGAAACGGAAATTCAAGGGTCAGGGTAAACACAAGATATATAAAGAAATTGGGTTGTCCCCAAAAGAAAAATAATCTATGAATCACTTGAGCATTCCCTACATGTACTTCTTTTTTTCTCACACTAAATAACTAACAGTATTTTTCTGTTACTAAAATTGTGAGGCTTGACAAATAAACTCATCCACTCAACTCATTCTTAATTAAATATTACTCTATGTCAAGTAATGCCAAGCTTAGGCATAGAAAAGATTGGTAAAACAGGTATAATTTGTAGATTACCATCTGGTAAACATAGATTTTATAGTTAATTTTCAAGAGAAGATAATAATGTCATGAACAAGCAAAACATACAACTGGGATTGTAATGCACAGGACAGCTTTAAACCAACTGTGGAAGTAGAGACTGACCAGCTCATTCTCACGGAGCTGGAATGTTAGGACATGATAGGTCCTAATCTTAAGAGTGCACATGAGTACAACAAACTAGTCTATTGTTTGAAAACCAAATAAACCGTGTATATGTGAAGGTAATCTCCATCTCCTGGTCCTTATGCTGCAAATGTGTGATGATTTCTGGATATACTCAGGATGAGATCAGCTGCAATGGTGTGGCCATTCTGTTTCTCCATGCAGTCACCTAAAATAGATTTTGTTCTCAACCTGCAATGCCACTGAGACCCTGGCCCTACTTACATTAACTATGGATTCTTTAGTTTGAGCCATATCTGAGATCACACCATCCGTCACAATCAGGAGCACAAAATACTGGGAGCCATCTTTTACAGAAGATGCATACCTGAAAAAGAACAGGAAGGTAAGAACAGCATGCATAGGAGGGACTCCAGAAGAGGACTGCAGAGTGCTAGGTTTGGAACCTGGGACAAATGCCTGAGGTACCTATTATCATATCAAAGCAGACCTGGCTACCAGGTTCTTCCAGCATCCCTCAGTGCCTACCTGGTACTTGGTATGGCTGGGGTACCCCTGGTTCAGGATACCCTGAACTCTCCAGCCCAGGGGGCTGGGCTGTTCTTCCCTGAGAGGCTCTTCCCTATATAATCCAGACATTTTGGTTACCTTTCCCCTTTTGCACGTTTGACCTCCTGACTTCTACATGTGGTTCCACCCTCCCTCCCCCTCTCTTCCACATGGCTCAGCTCAGTCCGGTCATGTCCACTCTGGACTCTCCCAGATGTCCCTGCCTCTGGCTCTCAAGCTGGGGTCTCCCACATGTCTACAATATACTTTCTCCTTCACCATACCTAGGAGTAGTCATGTTCTTTGCTTTGCTTTGCTTTCCTTTTTCTTCCTTCCTTTCTTTTTCTTCCTTCCTTCCTTCCTTCCTTC